ATTACAGAATTCCCCTACGTGTACTCACACCAAGTTTTTCCCTAGTAATGTCTTACATTTGTATGGTACATTTATTATGATTAGTGAACTGACAATGATATATTACCTAATCTACATACTTTACTCGATTTTTAGTTTTTAATGTCCTTTTTCTGTTGTAGGATGCCATGGAGGATACCACATTACATTTAGTTATCATGACTCAAGTCCCTCACATTTGTTTTTGTTTTTTTGAGACAGTCTTACTCTGTCACCCTGGGTAGAGTGCCTTGGCGTCACAGCTCACAGCAACCTCAATCTCTTGGGCTCAGGGGATCCTCTTGCCTCAGCCTCCCAAGTAAATGAGACTAAAAATTCCCACCATGAGGCCTGGCTACTTGTTGTATTGTTAGTAGAGACCGGGTCTCGCTTTTGCTCAAGCTGGTCTATAACTCCTGAGCTCAAGCGATCCACCCGCCTCAGCCTCTCAGAGTATTGGGATTATAGGTGTGAGGCACTGCGCCCAGCCTTCTCTTGTTTTCCTGATGACCTCAATAGTAGTAAGATATTTTGTAGAAGGCCCTTCACCTAGGATTTGTATGATGTTTTCTCACTGGACTGGGATTATACATTTTTGCTAAGAAGGCTAAAGAGGTAAAGTGCTGTTTGTATTCTGAGGTACATACTATCCACATGGCTTCGATGTTGACCTCAATCACCCGGTCAAGGAAATAGTCTGTAGTCTCTGCAAGGAAGTCACTCTGCACAGCTCACACGTAAGGGGTGGGAAGTCATGCCCACATTAAAGTTACTTAGAATCCGGCTGCATGGGAGGTTTTCATTTATTTATTCATCATTTATTTCTATCAGCATGAACTCACAGGTATTTTATACTTGGGGTTACAATCAACACTATATTATTTTGTGTCTCAAACTGTTCTGGGTTTGGCTGCTGAGAATTCTGTTACTTGGTTCCTATACCTTTTGATGTACTACCAGCATGGAAATTGTTTTCTTGGTTTGTTTTGAGCACTTTCTTACTTCCTAACAGTTTAAGATGCTCTAGGCATCTTATCTTGTGTGTCTCCTGCCCCAGTCCTGAGGTCAGCTATTTCTCCAGAGGTGCCCAAATCCCTTTATTGGAGAATGGCGTTAAAAACCAAGATTGGGAATTAGGTGTACTCATTTTTAAGGGTATCATTGCTTCTAGGCCCTTAGCTGATAAGATGTGGTTATGTATTTCAAAGAATAAAAATATGCCTTTAAGTTTTTAAAAAGTTAACTTTTAGATTAGATGGACTGAAATGTTTACAGACGAAGTACCTAGAATTTGCTTCAGAATTATCAGTGTTGAGGAATGGGAAGTGGGGAAACAGCACAGATGAAACTGGAGTGGTCAGGAGTTATTTACTACAGTTAGATGAGAGGTATAGAAGAGTTTATTTTAATTGTTTGTCTCCTTCAAAACCTGCATAGTAGAGAACTTCTAAAAAGTCAGGATTCTATTTATAACTACATGCCAGCAAGTTAGAAAAGCCAGACAAAATGGTCAAGTTTATCAGGGGAAGGGGAAACACTCTTCTAGATCTGATTTTGCAATAATAAAGCTATTTAAAAAACTGAAGCAGAGGTTACAATATTCCTGTAGGATATTCATTGGAATTTCCAATCTATTAATGGCAGAGCAGGTAGATTGCAGGGAATTATAACCCTCCTGAAAATAATAAAATAATTATGAACCCAGGGCCAGAGGATGTAAAAATTTATTTGAAGGCATGGAGAGCAACTAAATGTTTGTAGAACCTGATGGGATCAGCCCTCAAAGGGGAAGGAGGGGACCTGTCAATTCTCCACAAATGCATCTACATATTCAATGTAATGCCAATCAAAATCTCAATTAGACTTTTTTTGGTGGGAATGGACTAGTTCATTCTAACCTTTATCCAGAAATGTCAAGGACCTGGAACAGCCAAAATAATCTTTAACAAGACAAAGAGCTTACCCTCCTCACTTCAGAATTTACTATAAAGCTACACTAATTAAGACAGTGTGGTGCTCCCATTAGGACAAACATATCAATGAAACACAAGAGTTCAGAAATAGACCTACACACGTTGACACGCTCAATGAGGCAGCAAGCAATTCAGTGGAGTTTTTCAACAAACGATGGTGGAATAAGTGGAAAAATGCATGGGAAAAAAAACTTGGCCCACGCATGATACTAAAATTGAAAGATACAAGTTGTAAAAGAGTTCATCATAAAAGTGAAACTGGCTTGGCGCCTGTGGCTCAAGTGGCTAAGGCGCCAGCCACGTACACCTAAGGTGGTGGGTTTGAATCCAGCCCAGGCCTGCCAAGCAACGACAGCTGCAACCAAAAAATAGCTGGGCGTTGTGTTGGGCACCTGTGGTCCCAGCTACTTGGGAGGCTGAGGCAGGAGATTCGCTTGAGCCCAGGATTTGGAGGTTGCTGTGAGCTGTGAGGCCATAGCACTCTACCCAGGGGGACAGCTTGAGGCTAAAAAAAAGTAAAAACTATAGTATGTCCAGAAAAACCTAAGAGAAAACCTTTGTAACACCTTTGGGTACGTAGGCAAAAATTTTCAGTTTTTATTAATATATAAATGAATTCATAATGCACACACCAGCCAGGAGAGGTAGCTCACAATCCTGGCACTCTAGAGGCTTGGGTGGGAGGATCCCTTGAGATCAGAAGCAGAGACCAGTCTGAGCAAGAGCAAGACCAGTCTTTACCAAAAAACAGAAAAAGTAGCCAGGCAAGGTGGTGCACCTCAAGTCCTAGCTACTTGGCAGGCTAAGGCAGGAGGAGAATTTGAGCCCTGGAGTTTGAGGTTGCTGTGATATAGAGACCTGTCTCAAAAGAAAAACAATCCTTTTCAATTTTTTCTTTTTTAGAGACACGATCTCACTCTGTCACCCAGGCTGGAGTGCAGTGGTGTATGATTATAGCTCACTATGCCTCTTTTTTATTTTTTGTAGAGACAAGATCTCACTATGTGTTGCCCAGGCTGGTCTCAAACTCTCTGGGCTGGGCTCAAGCAATCCTCCTGCCTCAGACTCCTGAGTCCCTGGGATTACAGACATGAACCATCAACCCTGGTTCTGAATACTTTTTAGGTGCCGAACCATGCTTATAGCCATATTGACTAAATTTATCAAATTAATCCATTCCTTAATCACTATTTGACATTTGAATTCCTACCGCTACCTCCCAAACGTGGAGCCACTATATATAATTTATAAAACTCAAAGTGATAATGGTTGGTGTAATTTCACAAGTAAAGAATGATTAGACAACACAGTGTTAAGCAGAACAAAAACTGTTCCAATCTTTACACACTTACTGTTAATCTCTGGTCAAGTTAAAGAACCATTAATAGCTGGGTGCTGTTTATTGCTACATAAAAATTATCTCCAAACTTTGAGACTTACAATCTATCTCTGTGTCTGTGAGTCAGGAATCCATGAGAAGCATTTTGGGCAGTTCCTGCTCAGGTCTCAAAACAGGCTGAAGCCAGGTGTCGCCCGAGACAGGAGTGGGAGGCTCCACCTCCAAGGCGGCTGGCTCATGTGGTCGGCAGCTAGTCTGAGCAAGGTGGCTTCTCTCCTGGTGGAGGGAGAGCTGCCTAAACCTCACGGCGTGGCCCTGGCTCACTGCAAAGTAAGCATCCACGTAACTGAGGCTGAAATTATACTGTCTGAGGACCTCGCCTCGGAAGTCACGCATATTTTCTGCAGTATTTTACTGGTGACACACATCAAACTTGTTCAATGTGGGAGGGTATTTTACAAATGCTGGATGCTTAAGCCAATACAGAAATGACTGAGAATAAGACATTAAAAAAAAAAAAAGCTTCAGAAACTTTTACTTAAAAGACTTTGGAAGCGGGTTGGACTCATCTACTGAGGTGAACGATGCTTTAGGCTTAAGCTGACCACAGATACAGTCCATGCGGGCAGCGAGGACCACACGCCAAGTCCAGAGATGCACAACAGGAATACTCGGTCTATTTCTGGGCACCAAACATTGGTTTCATTTTTTAAGCAACTCTAGAGGGCAGATGAAAGGCTGGTGAAGTTATGGGAACTGTTTCACTTAACACAGAGGAAATGTGCGTGCCAGTGTTATCTACCGGTGGGCTCAACAAGATTTAGTAATCCCTTGTAAGGTTCTAGCGCACAGATGATAGACAACTTTTTGGAAGTGTGATTAAAACAAACTGCATGAGAAGAATCCCCTATGAGGAAACTGCGGAGCTTTAAGACACTTGCCATCTACCCAGGCAGCTTGGCTTCTCTGGTCACCTTATTTTGCCATGTATAATGAATGTACTCTGGTGTATAATGTGCGCCATGTTTTTGGTCCAGATTTTCAGGGAAATGCTCACTTGGCTGGGAGATACACATCTGGGGAGGGCTAACACATCTCTGGTCAACTCTGCCCCTTCCCTCTCTCCTGGGAGCCCTTTCCTTTCCTTCCCTTCCCACACATTGGGGATGTGGCAGAAATAGCCACATGAATGCCCTGTGGGGTGGGAGCCAAGCAGGTCCTTGGGGCCAAGTGGGTCTCCCAGTCCCCTCCATTGGGTCAGGCCTCAGGCTTTGGCCTTTGCTCCACACAGCTATGACCTGCCCCACCAGCCTCATCACCCCCTCTTCTGGTACTTAGCAGCCTGCTCCTACCTGATCCATAAAGCTTCCTGGATTGGAACCCTGTGCTCCTGGTGGTGGGGCACAGTGGCTCTGGAAGGCCCAGAGGACTCCCCTGCTTCTGAGCCATACTACCCAAGTATAATGTGCATCCTTATTTTTCTCTCAAAATTTGGGCAAAAAGTACACAATACACATGGCAAAATGCATGGCTTGCACCTGCACACATGGAGTACTGTGGCTGAGCGGGGCTCCGGGAGGTAGGGGAGCTCAGGCACTCCTCACACACCAACGCTTATGTGTAACACGTCAGTCTGAAGAGCCTGACCCTCTAAGACAAAACACTGCCCAAACTATGGATCCAAATACTAAGAGTTAGCATTTATTTTTTAAACCAAGTTATTTTTGAACTTGTACACATGAATTCACCTGCACATATGCAAACTATAAAACAACCCGTGATGAAATCAGTGGTGGAAAAGCCGGACATTCGTGTGAGCGAGGGTTATTCCCAGTTCATCACAAGCCTCCGTCACGACTTTGTCAGCAGCAGAGCCGGAGGGAGCAGCGATGTAGGCCACGCCGCTCTGAGGGAAGACACACATTGATGTTCAGAACACAGTTTTATATAGAAACCTGCAAAACTCAACATCTCCCTACAAAAAGCCCAAACCAACAATGACTCAGTCAAAAAGGAAAATGATACGATTTGAGCCAGCCAAATACCCAACGGAGAAGGCAAATAATTCTCTACATATTACTGATCTGGGCCATGCTGACGCAGCTTTGATACACTGCTGAGACTGTCTCTATGTGATGCTCAAGTCTATGCAAATGCACCAATTCCACACTCACCCTTTTAGCTCTGTCTATATTATCCCTGAAAGGAAAGAAGGCATCAGAGCTAACAGAAACGTCACTTAGTTTGTTAATCCATTCCTTCTTCTCGGCCTCAGTTAGTAATTCAGGCACCTCCTCAAACAGTGCCTTCCACTTCATCAAATCTTCATCCTACGGGAGGAGGGAGGATAGAAGTCAGCCTGAGACCGTCTTTAGTTCTGTCTGATGTGAACCACCAAGCCAAAAAGCACATGGGCACTTTTTCTAGAACTTTTAATTTTACATAATGACTCTTATTTATATGCAAGTTCCTCTTTCTAGATTCTCCCTGACGCTTTTTAAAACATTTTCATTAAGGAAGAAAAATAATTCTGAGTTTATCAAATTTGCAGAGATAGTATCACTTTACTTTCTAAACTGATTTAGTCCAAATATATTTTGTTCTTAAATCTCTAATTTAGATCCACTACTTTCTATTCCTTTATCAAAGGAGGCAAATACAAAATCATATTCCAAGGCTTTTCAAAACAACACTCCACGTCCAATGTAGAAAAGTAATAAGAATGAATGTTTTAGAACTACATTTACAGAACCATTAGCCTCAAATATAATAGTTATAAAATCAAATATGATTCTTTGTATTTGCTATCATTTGAATGCTTGTGCCCCTCCAAAATTCATGCTGAAATTTAAAATCCTTAATGTGAAAGTATTAAGAGGTGGGGCCTTTAGAAGTTATCAGTCCAAGAGGGTGGGGCCATCATGAATACATTAGGGTGCTTTCTAAAAGAGTTAAGGGGGTGATTAGTCCCCATCTGGCGGAAGCAATTTTAATGCTCCCACATGCCTTCTTTAAAAAGAAGGCATTAAAGAAAATGAAATGTAACAAAAACGTATCAACTTGTTATAGCTCTCGTAGAAAATGTGGTGGGGGAAGACAGACACTAGTCACCTACAAGCATCATGCTTATCATAGATACTTCAAGGTGGGTGAAAGGCAGCACCTGTAATTAACTTAAAAAGACACAGAAGCTTTGTGGTTTCACAAAGGATAAAACAATGAGGGTAAAAAAGAAAGAAGATAGGGAATTGGTAAGAAGTTTCAATTAACAATTTTAGACAATATAGAATTTTAAGAAAAATACCTTTCCACTTTCTAGTGATGAAATTAAAGTCTGTTACATGTAAAACACTGAACTGAGAATATTAACACAGTCCATCCAAGTCCCAAAGACAAGCCTTTTACCTCGCCAATGGTTCCAGTCACATATTGGTCGATGGCATTGGAGATTTCTGCTCTCTTCACTCCTGGTTTAAACTTCATTGAAAGCACACGTGGATGGTGTCTCAGCCACCAATAGTTTGCCTTGTCCCCTGCAAGGCGTGTGCAGTGGATCCGAGACTGCTGACCTGCTCCAATGCCAATGACCTGAGGAACACGGACATTAAAATGAACCCCTCTTTCAATGCCTTCTTAACAGAGGATCTTATGTGCATAGTCCCCAAAACCTATCTCTTGGTAATTTTATGGAAGAAAACAGCAGGCCAAAATAGAAACATAATTTCAAAGTTATTAAAAAAAGAGGAGGGTAAGAGATTTATAACTACTATTCAAGCCTTTTAAATCACTTCAATGATATTTGAAATATGACTGCTAATATTGATATTCTGGAAGTTTCTAAATTTCAATACAATTATATCATTGATGGCTTGAAGGAAAAACAGAATTAAAAGAAAATAAAGGACCATTAAAATAGCTATGGTTATTTGAAAGTTTTTGTTTGCCCCAGTTTAAGACCTACAGTTTAAACACTGGATCACAGAAACTGATAAAATAAAGCTCTGACAAGGGTATCCTTAGCAGTGAAAACAACTTCACGAGAAAGGAACTTCTCCTTCCTTCCTCTATTTCTACGGGTTGAGTTCTAAGCAGCACTGCTAATGCGCAGTGGGTTTCATGGTTTCAGTTTCTGTAACGAGCACCTGTTCAGCTGTCTGCCCAAGGAGCCACCCCTTTCTAAGCCTGATGCTGTTGCGAGATGCCTGATGCCAACTTTGCCCACAGCTACAAGAGAATAAAAGAGACCACAAATACCTGTCAGTGTTCCTCCTGAACATCACTATACAAGGACTTAACAAAACTTCTGAGAACTTGAGCCCCAGGAGACCAGCAGCCACAACCCCCCAGGATTTTGTTACTATAGAGCAGGGGTCCTCAAACGTTTTAAACAGGGGGCCAGTTCACTGTCCCTCAGACTGTTGGAGGGCTGGAATGCAGGCCCTGGGACAAGTCAGCTGCTAAGCAGGACAGGCAGTGGCAGCAAAAACCCCTGACGGACTGGATAAATGACCTAGGTGGGCAGCATGTGGCCCGCAGGCTGTAGTTTGAAGACACCTGCTATAGAGGTTGGCAAGCCCGAGTCTTCTAGGGCACATGCTCATTAAAACCCACCTGTCCCCACTGTCCCCACTTGTGGGGCAAACTTAACGAATGTCAAGAGACAAGCTCAAGACATTAACAAGACAGGGTTGTAACGCTGCTGAAATTACAACAAAACCAAGCTCCCCCGAGTTGAAAGAGACCTCAGTGACAAACAAGAGCATCTTGCATTCCAAGGCTCGGCACACTAGGAAAACAAGTCTAGTATCTTGCATAACACCATATTCAGTAACTTACGGTGGCAGTGGTCACACACTGTAGTATTTGTGAAAACCAGTCAAACTGCACACTTAAAAGGGTGAATTTCACTGTACAAGGTTCCATCAATGGAACCTTGATGATACGGTATAGGATATACGTCAAAATACCCTGCAGGTTGGAAAAACACATGCTGGTGGGTGACAAATCTTTCCTTCCTTCCTCTTTACTAGAAATACCACCAATGTAAGGAAGGGGGAGTGAAGCAGCCAGTTTTGTAGCAGCTACTGGAGTCCCACTATTCCAGAATGGGCCAAGTCACTCTAGGCAAGAAGCAATGACTAATTTTAGTTCTTGGTTCCAAACATACTTTGTGATCACTGTGATCACTATTGGTCTTCAACAGTCCACCAAAGCTCTGAGGAAATACTGACAAAGCTGGAAGAGAAAAACTTGGCAAATTTTCCCTTTCAAGGTGTCCAACACCCGAGGCAGATGGAGTGTTTAACATCATTTTGTGACACAGTCCCCCAGAGGTGAGGTGACAGCCCACGTACCTGCCCGTTCTTGGCGTAGCACACAGAATTTGACTGAGTGTACTTGACAGCAACGGTGGCCACGATGAGGTCCCTGATGGCAGACTCCGAAAACTGAAACAGACAGGGGTGAATCACATGCGGCCTTCTGAATACCATTAGACTGGATGCTTCTTAGTGCCAGCAATGTGACACCCTTAATGGAGTTACAGCTCTCAAGTGAAAGAGAAAAATGGTTTTGCTACGCACTCCCATGGCTTCCTAAAACATCAAAGAGTTAACTTATTTGTAGTGGAACTTAGCACAATGTGTCAGACTAAAACTAATGCCACTTGCAGCAATTTGGGATTAAGCCTGTGAGTATCAGGTATAAAAATACCATACCTGCTCCAAAACCCACAAAAGTATTTTCGAGCAGAGGACTTTATCTGGAGAGGTGATAAAATTTATGTTCAGAACTGACGCTGAGACTAATTTTCACAGACATTACAAATCATTGTCATGCATAGATATAGCCAAGACTGCTCATAGAAGAATCAAATTAGGATCATTTTCTTCTTTGTTTAGAACATTCTAACTAATAATCCAAACAGAACAACAAATGTTTAATAGCCAAAAATATCACTGTCTTTAATAAAAAGAGTGAATACAAATTGAAAAGGACAAAGATCCACATTAACATGCTCAATGGATGATGTTAGCCGTAGCTAAGTGATAAATTAAGGAACTGAAAAATTGATTACTCTGACTTCATCACCATGTGCTTAGCAATTTAAAGCTTATTTCCAGCAACTCCACTTAAAACCTCAGGAGTCAGACCTGGGAACAGTCACAGCTCCTCACCTTCTCCTTGTTACTGTGAACAACTTATCCTTTCCCAGGAACTAACAGAAAAACTGGACACAGAGCTAAGACTGACAGCAAGGAGCGACAGGCAAAAACCGCAGAGATAAAGGCAGCAGCAGGAAATGGGCCTGACGATCCATGCTTTTCCCCTCAAGGCCTTTTCCAAATTGTGTGCAATAAATTAAGAAGCACGTAAGCTGAGCACAGCTTTGGGCAATCTTGCTGGACTGAGGGACAGACACAGAGTTCAGAGTATGCCAGGGAAGAAAGAGAAATACTAACAGATACCCAGGGCTTCAGCAAAGCAGGGTGAACCACAGACCAGTCCTCAAAGAAGCCCAAATTCAAAGCAGTTCAATTGGATAAAGCTGCCCATCAGAAGTGTAAGTCAACTACCTGGAAAAAACAACATCCAGACCCTCAACCTATTGCAGTAAGTTTTTCATACCCAGTGTTCGGCATTTTACAAAAATTTCCAAGCATTTCCGCAGAACAGACCAGAAACAAATGGAGGTACTGAAAAATACAGCCAACTAGACCCAGCAAAAGCGTTCTTTAAAATGAAGGCCTAATGATTTCAGAAAACAAATACCAACTCATCTATTTATCGAGTAACTTTTGTGCCACAAGTTACATTTCTTAACTCCCAATGTCACAGTTTTATTGATCTTTATAGTAAAAATGGCGACAGTCACCCTTCAGTGTGCCCTGAGTATTAAATGAGATAATACACACAAATATAAAACTCACCGTTACTATCCTTAGGACACGTCCCTTCTACACGACGACAAAGAGCACAAGTGCAAAAACTTGTCTACACGAAAACCCGGATCACAGCACAGAAAACAGAAACAACCTAAATGCCCACCACTGTCTGTCTAAACGCCCACCACCTGGACAGCCATGTGGACTCGCAGACCAATGAAGATCTATATCACTGATGCAGAAACCCATCTGTAGCCTGGGACCTGGAAAAAGGTAACTCTCAGAACAGAATTAAAGACCACATAATCTCATTTATGTGTAACTGAAGATACATCTCTCTGTGCACAGAAGCTTCTAGTACGGCCTTTATAATTTAAGCTCTCAGGATGACTTGCCAACTCAAAGATGGCCTGGCTGTGTGAGTATCAGTCAGTTGACATGGACCTTTAAATGTAAAACTTATAAACTGTGAAAACCTACTGAAGTGACAAGTAGTCAGACACTCCCAAACTTACATGTTTATTCTTGGTTACAACATTGGTAAATAATGACTTGTTGATGACAGCATCATTTCTCTTCTGGCTTAAACGAAGACCAAAGAGCGTTCGAATTTCATTTTCATCTGGTTCATAAGACTGGTCCATCTAAAAGACAAATTTTAAAAGTTAAAGGTAACACGTCCACATCCCTCAAATTTTTCATCTAATTATTTGCAAAAGACATCATAACATCATATGCATTTTTCTAATTTAAGCACATGTAAGATCATCTTAGCATGGGTGTGACAGAAGGGTCAGGTACAAGCAATTTGCTTTGTGTGTGTGTGTTTTTTTTTTATAGTTTTTACTACCTTATTGCATTTTATAGATTTTAAAACTTATACACAACATATTAAAACCAATGATTCCAGTAAGCATAGTTTTGGTTGAGTTACTATCTGCACAGTCCTTTTGGAAAGTCAGTAGATAAAAAGATTTGCTAATAAACAAGCTGTGGCAAAAAAATTAAGTTACAATTTTCCTTTCTTTCTAAATCTTTATTTTATTTTATCTTATTTTTCTTTTTTTTTTTTTTTGAGACAGAGCCTCAAGCTGTCCTCCTGGGTAGAGTGCCGTGGCATCACAGCTCACAGCAACCTCCAACTCCCAGGCTCAAGAGAGTCCCCTGCTTCACCCTGTCAAGCTGGGACCACAGGCGCCCACAACATCTGGCTATTTTTTAATTGCAGCCATCATTGTTGTTTGGTGGGCCCAGGCTGGATTCGAACCCACCACGTTAGGTGAATATGGCTGGCACTTTAGCCACTTAAGCCACAGGTGCCGAGCCTAAATCTTTATTTTAAAATATTGAGCTAATACTTATGATAAGAGCTAGAAGGGAAAAATCAGGATCTATAGTCTGCGTCTTTGCTATCTGGAAGGGAATTTGATGTAAATTTACAATGATCTTCCTCTCTCAAATTTTGAACTGAGAAGATATTAAAATTTGAGAAATAATACATGTAATACCGCTCTGTCTTCCTAGATATTTTACTAAACTTGTCAATATTTCTTCATTTATCGTTTGGACTATCTGTGACTTAGAAAGCACTGATATCTATAATTTATAAGCAAGCCTCCATAAATGTGTTTCGCTTACATTTTGTTGAATTCTAAAATATTCCTTTATGTTATACATTATAAAGCTTTATTTTCTTTAACTGAGCCCATCCCTCTGCAGAAGTTTCTTCTTATGCCTTTTTTTTTTTTTAAAGAGACAGTGTCTGGTTATGTTATGCAGACTGCTGGACTTGAACTCATGGGCTCAAGTGATCTTCCTGCCTCTGTCTCCTAAGTAGCTGGGATTCTAGGCAAGCACCACTATAAGCACCAGCCCTTATAACATTAGTAAAATCAATATGCTGTCCTATTAACTGACATCGAAAGAAAATTTCATGGTTGTAATTATGTATCCGATGTACAAACTAAGCCTATAAAATACTACTGAAGTCCTGGTATTCCTTTGACACCTTCCTAGGTGGTATTACCAGGTTTTGAAGAGGTCATAACAATGAGCTCAGGTTTTAGAAAATATTTTCCATAATGCTACATAAAACTGATAATGGACGTTGCATTGTTCCCCTTGTGCTGTCAGAGCACATACATAACAACCAGCCAGTCCCATACCCCTAACCCCAACACTTTGGAAGCCAAAGCAGGAGGAATGCTTGAAGTCAGGAGTTTAAGATTAGCCTGGGTGACATGGTAAGACTCCATCTTTGTAAAAAATTATAAAAGAGTGTACAATAAGTAAAAGTACTTAAGAAACTAGAAAACAGAGTAGCAGCTGTAACTATATGGTTAAACTTGCTGTCAAGTGGAGTTTTCTCCTTTCCTCAAAAAGCTGACGGTGAATTTATGGTGAACTAATGACAGAATTATTGGTAAATCTTACAATCAAGGGAGCACACTTAATAACTTCCATTACATAATTATACACAGTTGAGATGCCATAGGTTTTCTGACATAGCTTATGAACAACAGCATTATGAATTTTTACTGTGAACTCACAAAACTCTTTGCTTTATCAATACATAATCTTAGACTATAGACTAACTTCTTTTTAAGACAAGAGCTCATTTTAAAAAAAGTAAAGAAAAATCTCAACAACATAGGAGAAAAATTAAAAAGCATGGACAGTTTATAAAATGGAATAAAAACACCCTTAAATGTGAAAAGATATTCAGCTCACACTGAATGAGACATAAAAAATGTAAGAACACAAAGCTGTCATGTATGTTGGGAAATAGGCAAAACGCCCTACACCTTTCCGTTAGCACATTAAATGTGTCACACAGCCTCTGCAAGGGGCAGTGATACACACGGCCTGTGGCCCAGGCCTAATTTCACTCCTAGGGCTCCTTTAGGTCACTCCTGCACGGGTGTGTGCTGCAACTAGAGACTGGTGATTGGCTGGGTAATACAGATGCACAGGTATGGCACAAACTTCCCAGATTGTGAAGCAGGACACGTTTGTGCCAGAAGAGAAATAGAAAAAGAAAGGCCAACGCAAATATCTGTTGAGTATTTATAAACTTTAAAGAGAATACTTTAAAAAAGGTAAGCAAGAAATTTAAAGTATCAGTTAATTCTTCAAAAGGTAACTGGCAGAAGGGAAGGATGGGGGACACGTTCCATTAAATAACATCTAATGCCTTCTGAATAGGTAGTCACATAAACACATCATTTAAAAAAAATTTACAAAAAATGAAGACTAAGGAAGCTATCCTCATCTTAAAACCAAAATCAATGGTATTTTAAAAAATCCAGGATTAAGGACAAAGAAGCTGCTTATAATGAGGGATAAATTACAGCATGTAGGAAACACTAATCATGGTGGGAAAGACGCAAATAAGAGAGCAAACGACTGGTTTAAACACAAGTGGCACTGACCTGAAGCACACAGTAGTTTCCACTTTTCTTTTTAGAAAGTATTTTCAAGGCTGCTTCTTCATATCCTGGGGCAATAATACCATCAGATACCTGTAAATATATTAAATGTTAATTTCTGTTTCAAAAAATCAGAGAACACCTATGAAAACATCTAACAATTATCTGTGTTACGTAACGTAGCAGCACGCTCTGGTTTCTACCTCCAACAGAGAGTGCTTCTGCTACACTTGGGAAAGACAACTCTATGTCAGAATACAGCTTTCTACAGCCAGCTCTGTCTCACTTGCTATCTTTTCACCAGTTTTGTTTTAGTCAGTTTTAATTAAGAATATATGAATGATATGCTCTAAAATACGCTCCTTAGGGAGAAACTTTTCAGTATGTATTTTCTTTAGGATATGGTGTCTGACACGAGGAAGGGCACATTCTAGTTCTAGGTCCACTAGTCATGGCTAAATGACCTTCAGCAAGGCACATTCCAACTCTAAGACAAGATGAGAGTAAATCAAAGACTTAACATAACTAAAGATACAACGTCACAGGCCTGTTATAACCTATGACATATGGATTGAAAGGGTCATGGAAAGAATGCCTGAGGCAATGAAGTGCTGAGCCACCATCCCCCGAATCTCCAGCTACTTTCCTTCCCCCTCTGAGCAATTTGAGCTGCTTGGTTTGTACTTTTTGTCTTTCCACTCCCAACAGGACCTTCCACCTTTCTGGAATGCTTGTTTGCTATTCAACCGATTGGGGGGTGGGGGGGTGCTTATATTTTTTTTCATCGTATACAGTCTCTTTCTTTACAGACCTATGAAGGCTTATAGCAAGATTTATTATCACATCATCATCCAAGATGGCAGCCTCTGTTCTTTGGAAACAATGACTGTGGCTTTAAGATAACTACTAGATAAGATAAATGCATAAATTGAAAATGTGTTAGGACAGCCAAATATGCATTTGAAACATTAACTCACTAAGTCTCAAAAATCAATTCAAGGATCCACGTTCTACATAATTACAAATATTAAATGATAAATTTAACTAATATGCAGATATAATAAATATAAATATCACAGGTTAGGATTTCAAAGAACATTATGAACAATTAAAGCTTTACTCAGTTACACATGGATCAAAATACACGAATGTCCACTAACTTCTCTGGATATAATTTTTGCAGTTGGTACATCACAAACATCAGATAATGCAACAAAATCACCAAATGAAGACATCCTATCAGCACCTGTAAACAAAAATTGAAATGAGGTATTTATCACAGAGTATTCATGTGTAGAATAAGACAGTTCTCTAAAGCTAACCGTATTGTTCACACAGGATTTATTTAAACAACAGATCAACAGGCCGCTGAACTGAAGTAATTAGTAAGGAAGTGTTCTATAGTTCTACCTTCTAGAGTTGAGCAAACATTTTTTGCGAAGGGCCAGCAAGTAAATATTTTTAAAGCTTTGCCGCCACATGGTCTCTAACGTAACTACTCAGTTCAAAATCAGCCATGGCCAAGGCATATGATATATTTGCAAAAATAGGTGGCAGGCTGGATTCAGATGAGGGGCCTCTAGTTTGCTGACCCTTGTGTAAGCAGTAAACTATGATAGGTTTCTTAATAATTTTCCATAAACATTACAATAATATTCACAGGTTATTAAACTAAAAAAAAAAAGTTTCTGAAATACTACATAAAATGTAACTCTAACCAAATTTAGTGTAGACAAGTCATATTATACAATACAAATGCATTCAATACAGACTAATCTGAAATGGGCATTCCCCAAATTCCATTTGTTACATTAAAATACTAACATACACTATACTTTTATAAACTAATTGATTCTCAGGCATTCACATAATCATTCTCAAATGCAAACAAAACCAAATTTAAAATACTCTGAAATTGCATAAGGTGATACACATATTTTATTGTCAGTTATTTATACATTATATAGAACATCTATATATTTATTCTATCCTATTCAGGATAAAACATTGCTGTTGCTTTTTCTTACCCCACTCCCCCCACAAAACCCAACCCCCTTTATTCTGACCTCTTGCTCGTGCATATGCAGTTGCTATGGGAGTGAGGGTGTCCCAGAGATCATAGACCATGCAGACTTTGGCTTCATCTTCACTGAGTGGAATTCCAACAGCTGCACCTGGTACAGAAACCCATAAAATAATAAACAGACCCAAAATAGCTCGTTACTACTTGTCAACCCTTAAATCAAGACATTTTTTTTAACATTTAGTCTACAAAGCGTATTTTCTAGTGCCTGTGCTAAATTAAACTGAAACTTATTCAGCCAGATAATTAAATACCAAAAACATAGCTGTGGATGTCTCCGGCCTGTGAAAGTGCAGAGCCACTAAAGCCTGACGCCCCCAGGTGAGAATGAAGCTGGTTTACTTCATCACTGACCCGCTCACTCTCGGTCCTGCTGACCACACTGTTTATTTCTTCCCCACTCACATCACTTTAACACCCAGTAAACATCCTAGAACTAATTACATGCCGGATTGTCAGCAGATCTGGTGAAAAGACGACTAAGTTGTGGAACTAGACACTTAATATAGACACAAAAGGTATCTCAGGCAGCGGCTATAAGATACTGCCATGAAGTGTCATAAGAGCAACTTTTTTATGTCTACTCAGTTCTACTTTTAAACATGAAAAAATATTTATTATAGCCTATTGCATTAAGCCTTTTCACTTTTATTTTCTAAACTATTATATTTTTACCATAAAAACTATTTTCTAATCTTCCTGTCTCATAATATTATGCAATTGTATGTGTTATGTTATCAGATTTTATATTACACAGACAGTTATCAACAGACGTGACTTTTAGACTTCACCGAATATCTGCATTTACACTAGGACTTGTCAATATTAAAAAATAAAATAAATACAAAGAAAAGCATTTTGAACAAGTCCAGGGTATTCCAGCGCACAGAGCTTTACCTGCTGGGCTGACATGTTTGAAAGAGGCAGCGGCTGGAACGCCTAATGCCTCTTTCAGTTCCTTCACCAGCTGCCAGGCATTCAAAGCATCACATAAGTTTATAAATCCAGGGGCTCCATTTAGAACTGTAACATAAAAATACACACATACATTACTAAGCAGGATGAACAGTCATGTCCTTTCTCAACAAGTAACATGTCAAGACTGCACAAGTGTTGGAAGTAAAGGCAAACAGATACATGCCAACACAGAACTTGGTAACAGAGAACAAAGCGGCTGAGCCTGCACACATGCGCATAAACACACACCCAGACTCTCCCACCTAATGGGAAGGACCAAACCCAGCCAACGTTGGAACAAATCCACCTTAGAGACTCAGGAATGGGAGAAACCGACAAGGCTAGTGATCAGTCAGGGATCCACATACAGAATGAAGAGTAAATACGTGTGGCAATCACTGAGACCGTATGAAATTGAAGTTATAAACCTTATCAATTAAAAAAAATGGTATCAGAAACTAAGCCAGAGCTACGGGTTGGGAGGTAAGGAGAAGAAAAAAAATGTGCTGGGTTTTTCTTTTTCCTTCTTCCATAGCTGACTCAGCAGACTCTGTCTAGAGCGGAGATGCAGTTAGAAGACGACTGCACCTTCAGAATTTCCCCTGCCTATTTTCTTAACACTGGCAGGATTATTTAGGAACTAGTACATCCCGTGAATAAACAGACGAAGTTCAGCACACACAGAGAAACAGTGGGCCATCGTTAATTATAAATTAAAAATGTATAATTTCATTTCCTTCATGTTATCTCGGATAGAAGATAGTTTTTAAAAACCTTGCAAAAGGACAGCTGCACTTGAATGTTTACTGCAACACAATTTACAACTGCAAAGATGTGGATCTTTGCCCTCAATTCATGAATGGATGAAAAAATGTGAGAGCTATATATACTATGGCGTATTACTCAACTTTAAAAAGGAATGAAAAACCAAACTTCACATGTTCTCGCTCATTAAGTGGAAGCTAAACGAAGGGAACACATGGGCACAAAGATATAAAGGACCCTGGAAACCAGGACGGGCAGTGCGGGGGGGGGGGGGGTGAAAACTTACGCGGTGGGCGCAATGAGCACTGTGCCGTCACGGGCACACCGAAAGCCCTTACTTAAGCATCATACAATGAACACACTTAATATTTTAAAATAAATTATAAAAGTAAACTATACTTGCAGATGTTATGATCTTACAAAGAAAATACTACAGAAACCATTAAAAAATCAATTAGAACAAACAAGGTTAGCAAGGTTTGAGAGCATAAGATCAATACACAAAAATCAACTGTATTTTTATACAGTAGCAACGAACAATCCAAAAATTAAAAACTAAGAAAACAATTCAATTTACAATAGCATCAAAGAGAATAAAATGTTTTGGGGGAAAAATTAACAAAAGAAGTGCAAATCTTATATTCTGAAAACTACAACATTATTGGCCATTGGGGGAAATGTGATCAAAACCACAGTGAGATCCTGCCGAATACCCTTCTATGGTCTATAATATAAGGGCCAGACAACAGTAAGCACTGGTGAGGATGTACAGAATTGGGATACTCACACACTACTGGTGTAAAACGGTGCTTCCACTCTGGAAAACAGTGTACAGTGTGGCAGCTCTTCAGAAGGTTAAACACAGAGCAACCATGTGACCCAGTGATTCCACTCCTAGTTATATACTCAAGACAAATGAAAGTACATCCATACAATAACGTGTACATGAATGCTTATAGCCAGATTATTCACAATAGTGAAAAAGTGGAGACAGCTCACATGTGGATTAACTGATGAATGGATAATAAAATGCAACGTAGCCATAACGGAACAGTGTTGAGCACGAAGATGGCATGTGCAGCAACAGGATGATGCGATGGGGTGTGACGGCAGCTACCCTGGTCTAGGTCAGTGGTTCTCAACCTTCCTAACGCCACGGCCCTTTAATACAAGCTCCTGCGGGGCGTGACCCACAGGTTGAGAACTGCAGGTCTAGGTGGTCAGAAAAGGCTTCCCTGAGCTGAGACGAGGACCATGATGAGCAGAGGCACAAACTCTGGGTGGAGGGAGGTGAGGAGAGTCAGATGGCACAGGGTTTGTAGGCTGGGACACAGCACTTGAGGAAAGCCCACGAATGGTAAAGTGGGGCGTGACATCCGGTTTGCATTTTTTTTTAAAGGATACTGTGTTGTGAAGAACTGAGGGGCCAAGAGATAATGCAGAGAATTTAATCAGATGATTATAGTCTGGGAGACTTTATAGGTTGACTGGGGACTTTCCAGCATTTGAAATATTCAAAATATATGTGAGGTAGAGTAACAATCGAACTTGAGGATCTACTGAATCTGAGGATAAGGAGAAGATTTCAAATTCCCCCCAACCTCCTGCCTTGCTCCTCCCCCCTTTCAGTTGGTGACAAGGAGAAAGGACACAGGAGGACACTGCGTCCACCCACCACCAAACCCACGGAGCACTGGGCTCCAGCCTTGCCTTCTCCCAGAGAGGGGAGGCTGCCCTGCCTCTCCCCACAGCCAGCCCTCCCGGCCAGCCTTGGCCCTTCATTCAAGCCCTCATGGTGGTGACTGTCCCTCTGTCCCTCCCCCTGCCCTGCCTTCTATCAGAGTAGAACATGTCCTCATAGACTACCGTAAGAAGAAAACAGGACAAAAAGTCAAAAAACCTTCGCTTAATTCTACAAACCCATGGATGCCCTAAATTCTCTGTTCAAAGAATTACCTTTATCATTTTTATTTCCTAACTTCGCACTCTACTTCAACCCACTTCAACTGAACTTCTAGGCTCCACTCCAAGGAAAATGCTTCTTGTAACATTCCCAAAGCAAATAATAATCCCTTTTCTGTTCTCAACATCATAGCAACTGGCTGAAATTTTCCAGGTTCTCTTCTGGTTCCTCCACTATCTACCTCTCAAGCTGTGGCTTGGTCTTGACCGTCATCTATGAAATCCAGCTCATTTCATCCCATCCCATGTCTTCAAAAACACCTACATGCCAAAGACATTCCAAACTGTTGCTCCAACTTGATCTCTCAGCAGAACCCCAGACCCCAGAGTACCTCCACATTCTCACTCACAAGTCCAACCAGCATCTCAAACTTCATATGGTCATAAAAAGTAGTAGGGAATTTACTTTATATTCTAAACATGAACTACATCAGATACAGAGAAGACACATGGATCCAGACACAGCAAACTGTGCCATGTGACACCCAGGCTTTACCTGTGATGGGAAGCACGGGCTTCATCGTGTACAGCTGGGCAGGAGTCTGATGAGGGTTCATTCCATACCTCAAGGGCATCTGAGATATTCCTTTACTGTACTGTTTCCTGAAGTAATCTGAAATTGCTTCATCATACTGTGCCGTGTGAGTGAATGCCTACCAAAAAGGAAGTTTTGTGAGATGTTAACTCACAAAAGTAAAAACAAGATGGTTTTAGGTGTATAGCAAACACCATGCCCTCGCCCCATGCACACACACCAAAGACACCAAGTTCACCATGACTCACACTATAAATTATCCCTTTCCCGTTCTCTTTCAATCATTTTGACAGATTATCTCTAACAGTTAGTCTCTCCATTTTTAACAGAATAATAGTAACTCTGACAGCCTTGGGAGACAGAACCTAGAGAGAACTGAATCCCGTGTGTTTTGGCAAACTGTGCACCGAATGGATGTTACTTTACAATATTATGAAAGCTCGTTCCCACCTTCAAGGCTAGCTGGCGTCTAGTCTCCAGGGAGGTATCCTTACTCTCGGAGCTCTGCATCTCTGTGGACACTGGCGCGTAGTCATCTGGGTCACACACCACTGTCACCCGAGCATGGTTTTTGGCTGCAGCTCTCAGTAAGGTTACTCCACCTTTGAAGAACAAAAGACTTTTTTTTTAATTTAGGTATCAGTTCATGATCTTCTTTCAAATAAAATCATTGTACACACACTTCCACTTTAATATCTGACTTAAAAAATGAGGAAATAATCCAGATGTATCTACACACACACACACACACACTCTCCCCCCTCAGAAAATATAATCATCCCAGAACATCATCTGGGAGAAGTAACTATTTTCTATGTTCTACTTCAAATGTAAAATAAGTCATTAAATAATCAGTCTTCTAAATAGTTTTTCTGACTTACCAATATCAATTTGCTCAACAGCCTCCTGAACAGTTACATCTGGACAGGCCACCGTCTTCACAAAGGGGTACAGGTTGCAAACAACAACTCTACAACAAACGGGAATCAAGCTGCCGTTAAAAACTCAGTTTATGTGGTTTATGGCTATCCAGGAAAAGAATAAGCTAGCAATGACCAGAAACCACGAAGACCTAAAATGTAAACTGAGAGTCTCATGTTTTCAAATTCTAAAAAGATGTGCTAAAAAAGCCAAGATGGGCCGGGTGCCTTGGCTCACGCATGTACCGCAGCACTCTGGGAGGTTAAGGTGAGAGCATCTCTTGAAGCCAGGAGTTCAAGACCAGCCTAGGCAACATTGCAAGATTCTCTATAAAAAATAAAAAACAGAAAACTGAGCTGGGCATGGTAGTGTGCACCTGTAATCCTAGTTACTTGGGAAGTTGAGGCAGGATTGCTTAAGCCCAGGAGTTTGAGTGTCAGTAGGCTATAATCACACAATCATACTACAGCACGGCAGCCTGGGAAACAGCACAAAACCCCATCTCTTTAAAAACAAATACAAAACACAAAACAAGACATCCTACTGTCATAGAAGGTAATTTAATCAAGCAGTGTGCTGATCTGGATACACATTATTCCCTCCAAAACACACTGCAGTGTTAGGTAACCTTGGCCCCCCAGTACTGTCCAGCTTTCAAAAGTTTTAAACATTTTAATAGAAATGTAAAATGCAGGATTACAGGTAACATCCTTATTTTGGAATGTAATCACTATTATCCAGAACATTAATATCCAGAATATTATTCAAATTTAGATTCTCTCCCCAAGAAACAACAGGCTGCATACAATTTTAAAACACAGAACTAATCTAAAATTAACAACCAGTGAAGTGGAGTTCACTCCCCGACTGCACCATGGGGAGTTTCGTGGCCAGACTTCCCAGCCACATTAGCCTAACTGGTGAAAACTACTAAAAGGAAAACGAGAAGAGAAAACCCTCGCAGCTCAGTCTACTAGGCCCACTACTTTGAGACCAAAACCAGACAGATACATCCCAAGAAAACTACCGACCATCTCTCATGTGAATTGACACAAAAATCCTTAGTAAAACACTAGCAAGCCAAACCTAGACGAATATAAAAATAACTACACACCATAGCTAAGTAAGGTTTATCCCAGGAATGCCAGACTGGTTTAATATCTAAAAAATCAGTTAATGTAACGTTAATAAAGGACAAAAAATTCCTGACCACCTCAATAGATGCACAAAAAGCATCTGCTAAAGTTCAACACTCAAGATACAAATCTTCAACAAGAAGAACAAAAGGGAAATTATTCAACATGACAAAGTGAGACCAAAATTCACACCTAATGTCATACTTAAGGGAGAAGACGAAATACTTTCCCCCTATGACCAGAAATAAGACAAGATGTCCACTCACCACTACTATTCATCGTTGTACTGGAAATTTTAGCCACAACAATTTGTAAAGAAAATGAAATAAAAGCATCTGGATTGGAAAGAAAGAAACAAAGTTCTCTCTCTCTATTCACAGGTGACATGATCTTGTGTACAGAAAATCCTAAAGAACTCATAAATGTGACCTACTAGCACTAAGAAGTGAGTTTGATAAGTTGCAGGATAGATGATCAAAATGCAATCATCAGTTGTTCTAATGCACATTAGCAAGAAACAATGACATAATTAAGAAAACACATCCACTTAATGATAGCACAAAAAACAATGTTAGAGTTTCATGGAAGTACATGACATTGTTGAAAGAAATTAAAGAAAATCTAAATGAATATAATGACAACCACATCCACAGACTGGATGATTTAACACTATTCAGATGGTAATATTTCCCAAAATGATCTGCAGAATCAACACTCCTGGCTTGGCGCCTGTGGCTCAAGTGGCTAAGGTGCCAGCCACATACACCTAAGGTGGCAGGTTCGAATCCAACCCGGGCCACCAAACAACGACAGCTGCAACCAAAAAATAGCCGGGCGTTGTGGCGGGCGCCTGTGGTCCCAGCTCTTGGGAGGCGGAGGCAGGAGACTCGCTTGAGCCCAGGAGTTGGATGTTTCTGTGAGATGCCACAGCACTCTACCCAGGGGGACAGCTTGAGGCTCTGTCTCAAAAAAAAAAAGAAAAGAAAATTCCAACTACCGTTTCCCCCTCCAAAATGGGCAAGCTGATTCTAAAAATCATGTGGAAATGCAAGGAACTCTAAATAACCAAAACAACCTTGAATAAGAAAAACAAAGTTGAAAGACTCACACTCGCTTTTCAAAATTTACTATAAAGTTGCAATAATGTTATCCGGCTGACATCACAACAGACACACCATCCAAGGGCCAAGGGCATCAAGACCATTCCATGATTAAAGAATGGTCTTTTCAACAAATGATCCGAGGACTAGAGGATAGCCACATATCGACTTCACACATGTATATAAAAATTAACTTAAAATGAATCTGAAAATATCTTACGTATAAGAACTAAAGCTAAGAAAACACTTAACAGAAAACATAAAAAAAAAACCTTCCTCACCCAGGTCAGGCAATGGTTTCTTACATATGATACCAGACGCACAAGCAACACAAGAAAAAATAAATTCTCCATCACCAAAATGAAAACCCTTTGTGATGGTCAAAGGACACCAGCAAGAAAGGAACTCAATGCACAGAATGGGGGGAGAAGCCTCACGACTCACTAAAAAGACAAATCAATCAACTAAAAAATGGGTGAAGTATCTGAACAGTCATTTCTCCAAGGAAGGTACACAGCTGGCTAACGAGCACCGGGAAAGACGCTCAGCCTCATCAGAAGTACAAACCGTGACCACACGAGATGCCACTTCGCAACCACCAGAAGGGCGAGAACCAGAAATAAAGACAGAGAATCACACGTGTTGGTGAGGATGTGCATAAACTGGAACCCCAGAATTGCTGCTGGGATGGAAATGGTGTAGCCCCCAGTAAACAGTCTAGGCCGTTCCTCAGAAGGCTAACAGACAGAGACTTTATGACCAAGGAATTCTGCACAAAACATGTGCAAGTTTTATATTCACATGAAAGTCTGCACACAGCATTATTCATAATATCCAAAAAGGTAGACACAACCCAAATGTCCATCAATTAACGAACTGATAAAGAAAACGGGGTATAGAGCCATCCATACAATAGATTGTTTTTTAGCAATAAAAATGAAGTGCTGGTACTAGGCTGCAACATGGACACACCTTGAAAACACACAACGTGAAAGAAGCTACTCACAAAATACACTGCACAAGCTGGAGTCCACATACATGAAACGGACAATGCAGGGAATCCAGAGACAGAATGGACGCGGGTGGCTGCCAAGGCTGGGGGGCTTGGGGAAAATGCAGACCATTCTGCATAGGGTACAGGAGATTTGGGGGGGCAGGGTGATGACTATGTCTAATAACGAATGTGTTAATGGCTGTACAACTTCTGTGAAAATACTAAAACCTACCAAATTGTGTATTTTAAATTGGTGAACTCTATGGTATGTAAATGATATCACAATAAAGCTGTTAGAAATACTTAAAAGAAACAGATAATACTTTTATATAAATAACTAACTTGGCTGTATGGGTTGAACATCCCTAATCTGAAACTTTGAAAGCCAACAGAATGCTCAAAGGAAATACTCCCTGGAGCATTTTAGATTTCAAAAGTTTCAAATTAGGGGTGCTCAATTAGAATATTATCTGGAAATATCCCCAAACCCCAAATCTGAAACATTTCTGGACCCAAGCATTTCAGATAAGGGATATATTCAACCTGTATACAGAATATTTGTATCATAACTTCCTGAAAAAAACACAAGTCGTTTTCAGTTTAAGTATACATATTGATAATGTAAATTTGGCCAAACCAAAATGCTTATAACAAGTGCTATGTCACATAGAAGGTACTCAGTAAAGGTTGACAGTCAGAAAAAAAAAGAGTCATACCAGGTTTGGCATACTTTCTCTTTTATCCTTAATGTGTTACAAGTCTAATTTTAAATTTTTACCTTATAAGACTGAAATCAAGTCTGGCCATGTCAGCATTATCTTCGGGGGTATTACGAGCCAGGATTCCTAATAAAACAAAGTATTACTTCAAAAAACAAATCAGAACAAGGTACTTCTTTTAACACAGTATCATCAATCAAGTTAAACCTTTTAGTATTTTTTTTTCTTTCTTTCTTTTTATGGAGATAGGGTCTTGTTCTGTTGTCCTGGCATAAGAGCAGTGGTGTCACCATAGCTCACAGCAATCTCTAACTCCTAGGGCTCATGTGATCCCCATCTCAGCCTCCTGAGAAGCTGGCACCAGAGTACAGGTGCATGCCACCACTTCCAGCTGATTCTTTGTTTTTTTGAGAAATGAGGTCTCACTATGTTGTTCAGACTGGTCTTGAACTCCTGACCCCACTCAGCTTCCCAAAGGAGTAGGATTACAGGAGTGAGCCACCATTTGGGGCCTATAAAATATCAAACACATAGTTGAGCAGTTATCCAGAAAAATTAAGATTAGCAAAAATCTTTTGATCCTTTTTATTAACAAAATATTAAAAAAGGAATTTTTTTTTTTTTTGAGACAGTCTTACTATGTCACCCTTCCTAGAGTGCCGTGGCATCACAGCTCACAACTACCTCAACTTCTTGGGCTTAAGCAATTCTCTTGCCTCAGCCTCCCAAGTAGCTGCGCTACAGGCACCAGCCTCAACGCCTGGCTATTTTTTGTTGTTGTAGTTGTCACTGTTGTTTAGCAGGCCTGGCCGGGGTTTGAACTGTCAGCTCCTGAGTATGTGGCGGGTGTCCTACCCACTGAGCCAGTAAAGGAAATTTTTATGAAACTGTTGCTAGTTCCATTACAGGTTACATGTTCCCAAGAGTCAGTGGCTTGCCTGAAGATT